CGACGCCAAGAGCGACTCCGTCGTCAGGCGGGTGAGCTGCCTCGACCTCAGGGCGGGGACGACATCCTGCTTCTTTCGATTATGCGCGTAGCCTCTCGCCGCCAGAGCCTGGTCGAGGTAGAGGTCATTGGCCAGGGGCGCCTTGACCGCGGCCGCTGGGGTACACACTGCGCTGGGGATCAGCAGCGTCTTGAAGATGTCGCCCATGAAGGTGCCCATGCTCGCGTCCACGGCCTCGAAGCGTCCGAAAGTGATGGTGGTGTCGTTGTTGTGCTGGCAGCGCTCGAAGTCGGCCCGCGCCCTGACAGCGTGGAGGTAGTTGTGCATGGAAATCTCAGGACCCGACGCGTCGCCCATGAACCCCCCGTTGCCGCTGCGCACGGCCAGGCGCTCATCGGCAGCGTCCAGCGCCGCCGTGAGCCTGGCGCGCCTGGTGCTCGTGATGTGTGTGGCGAAAGCGATGTCCCTCTCCTCGAGCTCAGGGTCCGTCTCCAGCCTCTCGCGGATGCCCACTTCCAGCTCGGTCTTCGAGCCGCGGGCGAAGGCGTTCGTCGCGCCGTAGCTCTTGCGCAGCATCGGCTGGCTCCCCCGCACGCCTTTCCATGCCATGATCTCGGTGCAAGTCATCAGGCGCTCGCGCCTCCGACCGCGGCGCGCGAAGGCCCAGGGCGGGGGGCGGCAGGGGCCGCCTCGCATGAATTGGCCGCGCGCGTAGGCCCTTCATCACGGGCGCATGGCATGGGGCAGCCGCCGCCCAGCAGGCCCCGGCTTCCCGTTCTTCTGGTCGGGCGCGAAGCCGCAGGACAGCGAAGCCTGGATGGGGGGGGGGCCCGTCCTCCTGAGGTGCACCGCGAGGCGGAGGAGCCTGTAGGCCGCCTCGAGGTACTTGGCCAGGTGCGCCAACTGGTCCTGCGCGCACGGGTCCGCCGTCATCTGGCCCTCGCCCCACACAGGGGCAAGGCGCGAACCCAGGCCAGCCGCCTCCTTCCAGTAGTCACTCGGCATGCTGATCCACGCGGGATTGAGGAGGATCTTGAACAGCTCGACTGGGGCCGGCCACCTCGGCGCAAACCTGCCCAGCTTGGACTTCCCGATGGCCTTGCACGCGCGCTTGAAGTCCTCCCGGGCCTGCCTGCGCATGGGGGGGGGGCCTCGTAGGCGTCGGGGTGGGCGTAGCCGTCAATGTTGGCGAGCTGGTCGCACCGGTCGCCTGGCACCTCCGCGCGCCACGGGGCGGCCACGCTCTCACCCCCAAGGCCGCCCTCCAGCGGTGGCCTCAGCTGGAAGGCGCTCCACTCATGGGCCGGCGGGGAGAAGGGCGGGTTCGCGCGGTAGTTGCGGTTCTTGATGCCGATACCCGCCCTAGCGAGCGACCTCGCCAGCCTGGGGACCGCCCGCCATGTCCCGCCGTTGCCAAGCTTCAGCCAGCTCGCCCTCCGTGAACACCTGGCGGGCCTCCAGCATGTGCTCGCGGTTGCTCGCCAGCGCCTTCGAGTATGCCTCGATCTGTCGGGCGTAGCTCGCGGCGCCCTCCGCAGCGGCCTCGCCCGCGACATCCCGCGCGCGGACCGAGGACAGGAGCGCCCGCCTAGCCTTCAACAGGTCCCACTTCCGCGCGACCATCGCTTCCTTGCGTGGGTCGCGGACGGGTGCTTGGGAGAAGTGCCTGAGGCCTACGTTGCGGATCATCGTCGTCAGCAGTGCGGCGTGGCCCATGGTGACCTCGCGGCTCTCCAGCACGTCGAAGGATGGCCTGTGTGTCTCCAGCAAGGTCTGGACCTCCCTCCGGAAGGGCTCACGGCCATCACCCGTCAAGGTGGCCGCGCGGAGCTTGGCGTGGCCCCCCCTCTCGCGCAGCGGGGTGAGGTCGATCGGCGGCACCATCTTCATCTTGAGCACGATCGGAATGTGGTCAAGTACCGCTGCCTTCGCTCGCCCTTCCTGCGCAGCCCGCCTCCACGTGGCCGCCCAATTGACCAGGGGGCGGGCCACCCTGGGGACGAGGATGTAGTCGATTTGGCTGGTCCCCGAGTTGCCATCGAATGTGTTGCCGCACGGGAAGAACGTGTTGATCGCGCACAGGCCGACCGTGTCCATCCACACGTGCAGGCGCTTCGCAGAGGGGGGCTCCACTGGCGCGCCATGAGGGCCCACAGCGTCGGAGTGCTCAGAAAACTTTAGGCCGCCATTGAGGTCCATGCATATCATCGGTGTATAGCGCTGTGGGATGGCCGCGTACTCCGTCTGGGCCCACTTCAGCAGCTGCGTGCACGTGTCGCGATGCACCGCCACCGAGCCAGCCTTCGAGGGGCGGGGGCGGGAAGTACAGCACCATGATCGCGATCATCACAAGCCCCGAGCAGATGTAGGCCAAGCCGCCTCGCCCGCGCAGCTGCGCTGGCGGGGTGATGATCCTCCGCAGGGGGTTCTCCCCGAACCATCTTTTGTTGATCATGATGGCGCAGCCGCAGGCCTTCGTGATGAGCCTCCCCCTCTGCCAGCCAAATTTCATAACGTGGTGGTACGCAGCGTTGGCCGCGTGATGCGCCTCGTTCTGCCAAGCCTTCACCGCCGTGCCAGGCAAGGCGGCCACGCCGACCGAGCGGAGGACGGAGCTGACCTCGTCAAGGCGGAAGGCGCCGATGAGGTTGTGCGGGTTCCAGCTGCCCACGAAGCACGAGCGGGCGTTGGTCTCGGCGTGGGCGGCGGCCTGCACCGACCCCAGCGTGAGCAGCAGCAGCGCGGACCGCATGCCCCAGCGGGCGGCGGCGTGCGAGCCTGCCTCCCAGCGGTGCTCCGCCAGGGAAGGCGACACTCCGCGCGGTCAGCGCGCCAGCCAGGCCACGGTCGCCCCCATGGTGCCTCTGCCGCGGGTCAGAAGGCCGCCTGGTGGGCAGGGGGGACCAGGGCCGTGGTGGCGGCTGAGGAGGAGGAGGAGGAGGAGGAGGAGGAGGAGGAGGAGGAGGAGGAGGAGGAGGAGGAGAGAAAGTGGGAGGCACTCAGCAGTGACGAAAGCGCAGCCAAGTGCGTTCGCTGGTGGTGCAAGGGCAAGTGGCCCAACGACAGACGATGCCACGCCTCGCCAAGGCTTTCGACAACTCCTCCTCCTCCTCCTTTCCTCCTCCCCCTCCTTCTCCTCTTCCTCCTCCTCCTCCGTGCTGCCAGCTCCACCCTGGGGTTCCTGATACCTTGTGGCATCGACACACAGCTCTATGCGGATCCCTATGCGGATCCCTATGCGGGTGCCTGTGGGGGTCCCTATGGGGATGCCTCTGGGGATTCCTATGCGGCTCCCCGCGCGGATCCCTAAGCGGATCCCTGTGAAGATCCCGATGCGGATCTCTATAAGGATCCCTGGGAACTCCAAATGCGGATCCCTATGCGGATCCCGGTGGATGTTTCTATGCGATCCCCATGCGGATTTGTGTGCGGATGCCTATGCGGATACACATGCGGATCCCTGTGCGCACGGGGGCAGTGCCGGGGGCGCACTGGGGGCGAGCGTTACGTTTTGGGTTGTGGGGGGGCATAACACGCGTTATGGCCCAAGCAAGAAAGACACAAGATCCATCCTCCCAAATGCTTCCCGAAGGGTTTCCACAACGGCTGGGGGAGCACATGGTCCGATAGCTTGTCAGAGCTCTTGCCACCACGCTCGGGCACATGGGCGATTCCGAAAGGCAGGGGGCGGCGGTGATTCGCCGTAGGCGTCTTCGAGCTCCAAGATCCAACGGCTATGGGGGATGTCTCGAGCGCCGCGGCCTTCTCAGAGCGTCCCGGAGCGCTCTGAGAGCGTTCCGAGACGCTCTGGAACGGATTTATCCTCGTCCCAGCCCGCCCCGTCTGATGTCGGCTTGAGATTCGGAGCCCAATTGACCCACTGAGGGCAAAAGACCGAAAGAAAAAAACACTTCTGACGGTCGCCGAAACAAAAAAAAAAAAACCTCACAGCGACCGCCCGGGCGACCCCTGGTGGCCATGCCACTCCTTGACACACACACCTTGCCCCGATCTGTGGCCGCCGCAAGCGCCGCGGCGACAAACAAATGTGGCCCAGAGGTTGGGTTCCACTGGCAGACCACGTAGCGTCGTGAAAAAAACGCGACGGACATGGTTTCGCGTTTTTCGGTCTCCAGGGGCCCTCATCGCGACTCGGGACCGACAAACAAATACTCAGGATGAAAAGCTGACCCCCCGGACCAGGGAAGGGGTCCAGACCTCTGGGGCCACGCCATGGAATTACCCCAGACGTTCCCAACCCCGTCTCCACGCGAGGCGACTACTTGTATGAACTCTCCATCCACAAGAACACATCGCAAGATATGCACGATCTGCGCTGCCTTTCGCTCCGCCGTGCCTCCCGGGAGCCCACGAAAGAGGCGACGGGCTCCGCAGTTCGCAGCCCCCGCGAAGTCTCAAAGGGATCGCTGCTGCCCTCGCCTCCGCCGTGCCTCCCGGGAGCCCACGAAAGAGGCGACGGGTTGCGCAGTTCGCAGCCCCCGAGGGAGCCGCGAAGTCTCAATGGGATCCCCGCTGCCCTCGCCCCCGCCGTGCCTCCCGGGAGCTCACGGACGTGGCGACAGTTGCGGCGCAGTCCGCAGCCCCCGCAGTAGGAAAGGTACGAGCAAGGGAGGCAAGGATGCAGAAGGCAGGAGGAGAAGAGAGGGAGGCAGGAGGCAGGCAGAGGGGGGAGGATTAGGAGGAGGAGGAGGAGGAGGAGGAGGAGGAGGAGGAGGGAAAGGAGGAGGAGGAGGAGGAGGAGAAGTCCTCTTCTTCCTCCTCCTCCTCCTCCTCCTGCTTCTCTTCCATGATGGGGACCGATCGGGGGAGGACCAGCTCCGCGAGAGGCACATCGGCCCGGAATCGGCGATGCGTGCCCGACACATCGGCGATAGGCCCCCAATACCGTGACCGCACGCTCCTGGGCGAGGCTGGCTTTCAGGCCCCTGTGGGCGATCACTGGGCGAAGGGGGGTCTATGTATCCCCACCTGAGCCGCTCGCCCCCTCACGTTACCCCTGACGGCTTTCGTTGTTTTGACATTGTATGGTCCTCCAGCACAGGTGTCACTGCACTTCGTGCCACGCGGCGACAGAGAGCGGAGGCCTGCGAGCTCCTCGGTTCCTGGGAGCGCGGAACTCCGAGCGCTCTACGCCGAGACCGAGTGCAGGACTCATGCGCGGCGTGAGGATCAGTGCAGGAGAGGTGAGTTGAGTGGAGCAAGGTAGATCACCAGATAGACAGCACATTATAAAAGTGCCGCGCTCCATTCTTATTCCTCTTCTTCTTCCTCTTCTCCTCATCCTCCTCCTCCTCCTCCTTCTCCTCTTCCCCCTCATTCAATACCTTCACCTTCACCTTCACCTTCTCCCCTCCTCCTCATCCTCCTCCTCCTCCTACTCTTCGGACCCAGCGTCTGGCGAAGCAGCGCGCTTCACATCAGGTCTGTCAAATCCTCCAAATCATTGGGATCGCCTTGGATTGCCTCCTCGAACTTTGCCTTGCGTGCTGTACTCTCGTCCTCGAGCCGCGGTTCTGGAGGGTCGTCTGGATTCATGCCAACGCGCCGGAGAATCTCGTTGACGTAGAGTCTCGAGGGGTACTCGCTTGGGTGATAGCCGTCAATTCTGTACAAGCCTGGCACCTTGCGGTCGATTAGCTTGTCCATGATCGCATGCTAATCGATGACCTCGTACTTACCAAACAGCATCCCATTGGTCGTGGACGAGCTGATGCACTTGTAAAGCAATGCGATGTCGCGCTTCTCAAACTTTTCGTGCGTGGGCGTATGATCGATCGTCGGGGCAGTCCGGAAGGTGATGCGGCTCGTCGGAAAGATCTCAGACACTCTCTGCAGCAAGCCAGGCAGGTCGTGCGAGCACCACTGCTGCACGCGCTCCTCGGTCACCTCCTTCGGTGGAGGGATCTTTGCTTCAGAGGCTGACAGTCCGTGTCGGTCACCGAGAGTACCAAGCCTCCACACTAATAGGTCCCACAATGAGCTATCCACCACGACCAGGTGGGGGCTCCCGTTTAGCATATAGAAGGACGTCGCGTTCGCATATGTTTTCAAAATTGCCCCCGTCGAAGGACCCTTCGCTAGCGCGGTCGGTTTATGAAGGTCTCCATTGGCCCCAACGCCAGGGTGGTATATGTAGCCCATTTTAAGGTCGAGGTCTTTGTTGATACACCAAGCGGACTCTATTGGATAATCGGTTTGTTCGCCATGGCCGTCACAGAACTCCATGAGCGCATTCCGGTCCAACGAACAGCCGAGCAGCAATACTCGTCGCTCGTCCTGGACGACCGCCGTCATGGACGATTCGTCCAGGACGTGCAAAGCAGACGCACCCGCAACGCTGGCAAACAAGAGCCCTAGCATCGAACACATGTTGGCCCCGGCCCAGCACGTATAAGAGTGTAGGGACGATGTACGACCGCATCTGAGCAAGAACGGTCACGGGCCCACCTGTGTGCCTGTTCGATGCGTCTGCAGTGCCTGTCTGCTGCGCTCTGCGCCTGTACTGTCATTACATGTTCCAGGAGCCCGTTCATGATGATTATGATTATTATCCGCGATAACGCCCGTGACCAGCCCCGACCCCACTCCTTCCCCCCTTCTGGTCACGTGACGATTCGCGCCAGCGCCGTGTGGGAACTAGCCGCAGCCACGTCTTGTCTTACACTTCCCAGACGGTGCCGGCGCGAACCGTGACGTGACCGCCCCCCCCCCCCCCTCCTGCCCCCCCCGAGCGCGCCCGATGTGTTTCTGCCCTTCCTGCGGGTGGGAATCACGGAGGGACGCGCGTCGGAGGGCCGCCAAGTCACGCGAGACCGGCTGGGCGGGAGTCCCAGGGGTTGAGGAAGGATTGGCCGGGCAGGTGATCCTGTAGGCCTACCACGAGAGTTTTTGCAAAACGAGAGAATGCTAGCCAACGCGAAGCCCAAACAACGTGTTTTTAGCAATCGATGTTGTGCAATCTACGTGGTGGAATCTAGGTTGTGCTATCTACGATGTGCAAACAATATTGTGCAATCTGCGTTGTGCACTCTATATGGTGCCATGTATGTTGTGCAGCTCGCGCGGTGCGCGGTCCAATATCTGCTGTGCAAGCTATGTGGTGCACTTTGGTGCAAGTTTCCCTGCCGTACTTGAAATTGCCAACTCCACTGTTCTTTTCCCACCCACCCACCCGCAACTTGGTTTGCAAAACCCATGCGGCGGCGATTGCGATAAGTGCTTGGTGCTGGCTGGTGCAATTCTGCGGCCGCGATAGCCCGCGCATGCTCGCGCGCGCAGCGGCCAGCCAGTTTGGTGCGACAAACGCGGCCGCGGCGGCACTGACCGTTGGTCACTTTCCAGCGGGCGAGTCGGCGACTTAGGCGGGCACGGTAGCATGGCAACGTCGACAACGGTAGACACCATGATGATAGCAACAGTGCTGGTGACCATGGCGACGACGACGACAACAAGGCCAATGACGGCGCCGATGCGGATCACGCCGACGACGATGACGGCCTCCTCGCGTCGGTGATGAAGGTTTTGGAAGAAGTTCGACATGCCCGCGCGGCCGACGCGCGAGAATGGCCCGCACTGTATTACTTGACGCGGATCGCGCCCCCCCCCCCCCCTCCAGCATGCGCGCAAGGGCGTTCGAATACCTACGATTGTCTCAAGAATTTGCAAGAACACGAACGCAGGTTTTCATGTTTTTGCTATTTTTGGTTAGTTTGCAAACTGATGTTGCAAAGCCATGTGTTTTCTGTTTTCAGGACACTCGTCTTTGAAATCCCCACGAAGCCTAAGGTGTTTGAAATATTTCGGCATGCGCTCGCGACGACGCGCGCGCGCATTTCGTCCCGCTGTTTACACGGGAGTATTGCGACAGCACGCGCGCAAGGGCGCTCGAGCGATTTCGACATGCGCGCGCGAGAGGCTCGTTTGGTAGCATGTTATGAATATACTGAAAGCCGATGATTATCCTAAAAAATATGCAAGAGCGCAGGCGCATGTTTTTTCCCAACCATCCTGGGGTGTTGGGTCCTCGTTTTGACGAGGCGGCGACCCGCGTTCCTCACTCCTCCCCCCATTCCTTTCATCATCGTCATCATCATCATCACCATCAGCATCAGCATCATCATCATCATCATCATCATCATCATCATCAGCAGCAGCATCATCATCACCATCATCATCACCATCATCATCGACACTACCAACATCATCGGCACACCCCTCACACGTTTCGTGGCCCCACTGGGAGCTCCACCGAAAGCCCCACTGGTTGCGTACACGTGCGTCCGCGCCGCTCATTTTGGCACACCCATCATACGGTTCGTGGCCTAATAGGGAGCTCCACCGAAGGCCCCAGTGGCTGCGTCCACATGCGTCCGCGCCGCTCATTTCGGCACACCCCTCGCACGCTTCGTGGGCCCATTGGGAGCTCCACCGAATGCCCCAATGGATGCGTCCACATGCGTCCGCGCCGCCCACTTCGGCACACCCCTCACACGTTTCGTGGCCCCATAAGAAAAAGCTCCACCGAAGGCCCCAGTGGCTGCGTCTACACGCGTCCGCGCCACTCATTTCGGCACACCTCTCGCACGCTTCGTGGGCCCATTGGGAGCTCCACCGAATGCCCCAATGGTTGCGTCCACATGCGTTCGAGCCGCCCATTTCGGCACACCCCTCACACGTTCGTGGCCCCATAGGGAGCTCCACGGAAGGCCCCACTGGCTGCGTCCACATGCGTCCGCGCCGCTCATTTCGAGGCACACGTCACACGGTTCGTGGCACAGAGGAAGACTCCACCGAATGCCCCAATGAATACGCCCACATGCGGCAACGCCGCCCATGTCGGCACACCCCTAACACGTTCCGTGGCCCCATAGGGAGTTCCACCGAAAAGCCCCATTAGCTGCGTCCACATGCGCCCCGCGCTCATTTCGGCACGCCCCTCACACGCTTCGTGACCCCATACGGAGCTCCAACGAAAGCCTCATTGGCTGCGCCCACAAGTGCCCGCACCGTCAATTTCGGTACACCCATCACACGCTTCGTGGCCCCCATCGGGAGCTCCACCGAATGCCACAATGGATGCGTCCACATGCGTCCCGCGCCCATTTCGGCACACCCTCACACGTTCGTGGTCACGTGGGGAGTTCCGCTGAACGCCACAATGGCTGCGTCCACATGCGTTCCGCGTGAATTGTTGGCACACCCTTCACACGGCCCAAGAGGGGCCAGATTTTGAGGATGTTTCGAGCGGTTTGGAGGAGGAGGAGGAGGAGGAGGAGGAGGAGGAGGAGGACCAGTGTAAACCCAGGACCCACCAACGATGTTGAAAACCACCCTCCCTCCAAGATCTCCTTCTATAGGCCCTTACAAAGTGGAAATTTCGAATGAGGAAAGTGTCATGTCGCCGCTGCGTCCCCCCCCCCCCCAGGGCGAAGAGGAGGATTCGGAGGAGGAGGCGGAGGAGGAGGAGTAGGAGGAGGAGGAGGAGGGGGAGGAGGAAGGGGGAAGGGGAGGAGGAGGAGGGGGAGGAGGAGAGGGAGGAGGAGGAGAGGAGGAGGAGGAGGAGGAGGGGGAGGAGGAGGAGGAGGAGGAGGAGGAGGAGGCGGAGGAGGAGGAGGAGGAGGAGGGGAGGAGGAGGAGGAGGAGTAGGAGGGGGAGGACCAGAGTAAACCCATGACTCACCTATGGTACTGAAATATACCCTCCCTCCAAGATCCCTTTCTATAGGCCACCACAAGTGGCCGTTTCCGATGAGGAGGAGATGCGGAGGAGGAGAAGGAGGACGAGGAGGATGAGGAGGAGGAGGACAGGGAGAAGGAGGATGAGGATGATAAGGAAACGAGAAGGAGAAGGAGAAGGATACTGAGAGGAGGAGGAGGAGGAGGAGGATGAGGAGGAGGAGAGGAGGAGAGGGAGGAGAGAGAGGAGAGGGAGGAGGAGGAGGAGGAGGAGGAGGAGGAGGAGGAGGAGGAGAGGAGGAGGATGAGGACAGGGAGGAGGGGGAGGAGGAGGAGGAGGAGGAGGAGGAGGAGGAAGAGGAGGGGGGGGGGTCAGCTTAAACACAGGACTCACCGACGATGTTAAAATACACCCTCCCTCCAAGATCCCTTTCTATAGGCCCCTACACGTGGATATTTCAAATGAAGGAATTGCCATGCCGCCGCTGCGCCCCCATGGGCCAAGGAGGAGGAGGAGGAGGCGGCGGAGGAGAGGGATGAGGATGATGATGAGGATGAGGATGAATATGAGGATGTGGATGAGGATGAAGATGGGGATGCTGATGAGGATCAGGAGGATGTTGATGGTGACGATGACGATGACGATGCTGATGACTTTGATGCTGCTGATGATACTGGTGATGCTGATGTTGTTGTTAATGGTGTTGCTGATGATGATACTGGTGGTGATGATGATGATGCTGATGATGACGATGATGATGGTGCTGATGATGCTAATGATGTTGTTTGTGATGATGATGACGGTGATGATGATGCTGCTGGTGAGCATGATGCTGCTGCTGATGGTGATGATGATGCTGATGATGTTGATGATCATGCTGATGATGGGGAGGAGGCGGAGGATGAGGAGGCGGAAGAGGAGGATGAGGAGGAGGAAGAGGAGGAGGAGGAGGAGGAGG